TTTAGTCATCTATAATAGTCAAATTTATAGCCGTCTTAGTTAGGTTTTCTAGGTATACAAAGATATATTTCAATTAGAAACCTTGTGACAATGAAGTCTATTAACTTAGCAGACAACTAGCTTCAATCCAAAAGCTAAGAATGCCAGCAGCTAACATCTTGAGCCTGTGGAGAAGCTCCTCCAATTGATGCACCTGCCTCCCTGAGCAGCCCTTTGAGTAGGCCCAGAGAGATTTCCCATTATAAGCTGTGAGAGGACTGGGGGTTAGCTCAGTGGTCAGGGGATTGCCCAGAAAACACTAGACCTTGGTTCAGTTTATAGCACCAGAGGAAAAAGAATGTCATGAGAGCAAACTTGGACATGGAGCCTCCAACATGTGTCATGTCTTCAGTCAACTGAATGACTCACGAGAGGCCCCCAAGGAAGAACCATCCAGGCTGGCTCCTCATGGGTGCCTGACACTGTGAGATATTCCTTGTTTTTTCAAGTTGTGTATTTATTTGGGGTCAATTAATTCTGCATCACCAGACATGGGACAAGAGCAGTCGTCTCCCTCTTAGTCCTTAGGACCAAGGGAGAGAGTATGGACAGACATGTCAGAAGACAACAGGCAGGCTCTCACTGAAATGACCAAGGTAAGTCCTTCATGCTCTGACTCCATCTTGTGTTTCCTCACAGATTTCTCAGCTCTCTCTTTTCCCCCACCACAGTCATGTCTGCCTTCACATGTACTTGAGAGTTCCAGGGACATGTCCATACTGCACAGAATAGACCAGAATAACTAAAGGAAATCACAATAAATAAAGAAGCTACAACTCAAAATTATGATTGAAATAGTAACTCTGCTCTGTCAGGAAAGAACAATTCAAATTAATCTGACCTGCACCTACTTGTTTGTAAATTATGGTCTTTGTGGGTTTTTTCCTTTAAACATGCTGTGTCCCTGAGCTTGGGCACCTACAGACTTTTTGGAGGCATAAGCTTGTTTTTGGTCTCATCATTAATAAAAGTACTTAAACCATGAATTGGCCAAATATTATTGTTTTCCATAACTATCTCTTGTGAATCATTTCACAGCAGTGTCTCACAGCGGATTCTTCCCTAGGCAGAAGCCCCTCTTCTTTTCCTTCTTTCTCTCTCCCCACAGAGACAATGATGGCCACCACTGTTGCTCTGTCCTTCATGCCTAAGACCCCATGGCATCCTCACGGCACCTGCTGAGGTGAGCTCCGGTGTTGACTGCCTACTGTGAAGGATCCTAAGACCAGACACTAGTCAACACTGAGTCAATTCAGGAGTGTGATCCTGACCAGCTGGATGGTGTCTGTCCTCTCCATCACCACAGCTTTGGAATCTGCTGACCCATACCCAGCCTGGCTGTGAGGACACACTGATGTAACAGCTAAGGAACAATACAGACTTCCTGGTGGTGTGAAGGATGCCTTTGCTATCCAAATGTTTGAATTATAAGAATTCCATGCACAGACACCTGAGCTGCAGGCATTTCTTCCCATCCTGGGGGTTGTCTCCTCACACTCACAGTACTGGGGAACCAAAACTTCACATATATAAGCCAATCCAGCATTCCACCATTAAGCTAACTCCAAAGCCCTCTTCTCTTTCTCCTTGAATTTTTACTTTATGTGGTTCCATGTGTTTGTGAATGTGTATGTGTACATCCATGTGCACATCCACATGAAGGTCAGAAGTCAACTTCAACTGTCATTCCTCTTCCATCTTGGTTTTAGGATAAGGTCTCTCCATAGGCCTGGAATTCATTGAATTGTCAAGGTTGGCTCTCCCAGGAGTCCCAGGGACCCACCTGTCTCCACCCCAGAGCTGGGATCACAAGTTCATGTCATCATAGTTGGCTTTTTTACTTCAGGGAATAAATTCAGATCCTCATGCATATGAGACCAACACTTTACCCACCTGGCCATGTCCCCAGTCCTCATTCCCTAGATAGTGTCTTTAGATGCACAAAGCTTGACTTCCCTCTGGCCCAAAGCAAAGAAGCCAACAGACCCCGGCCTGAAGTCTCTGAAACTGTGATTCAAACCAAACCTTTGCTTCCCTCAGTGGGTTATCTCAGATGTGCTGTCCCAGTGACATAAGGCTCACTGACACACCCCTCTGTCTACTGTCTGCTCTGTGGCCTCAGTACCAACAACAGAAAACAGATGGAGGCAGCCAGCTGGATGGCAGCTCAGCATCCTCCCAGAAAGCCCTGGAGTTGGCTGTGATTGTTCTAGGGGGAGAAACCTTGGTGAGGATCTGCAGATCATGCAGTTCACAGTGGTTCCCCCTTGGGATACTGGCATCTGGTGGGGTTACCTTAGATACTCTGTCCTGGCCTTGGTTTGGAGCACAGGTCTCTGAACTTATTACTGTAAACATGCTGCAGATTTTGTACTTGTTGTAAGGCACAGGCTGGGAATGAATGCCCTATAGTGCACGTCTCCTACAGTCTGCTTAGCAAGTTACTATAGCAAACCTTCCTGGGGGTGAGGATTATTCTCTGAGAGAGGATGTTGCTGCCATTCTGGGTGAGCATGGATACCATGGGTTCTGATGATGCACAGTGGCTGGCAGTGTTCTCTGCAGGGAGGTCACTCTTGATTCCTGGTGGCAGCTGCTTCAGTGCCCTCCTGGGATGTGCCAACTGCACAACACCTGAAGGGATAAGTGCTCTTCCCATGCTTGAATATTGGAGTGGGTTTCTGATGAGGCTGAAGGGGTGGGAGGAAGAGGCAGCCTGGCCCTTGATGGTTATTATAACCATTGCCACTACTACTCTTATCACTTCCATAGTACTTCATGGTTGGTATTCTCTGATTATTGATGTTTAGACATGAGACCTTGGCAATTACCTCTGACAAGTAATTTGGCCAAGAGCATTATATGTCAGACTATTTTTTTATTATTAAGAAATTTTCTATTTACTTTACATATCAACCACAGATCCCCCCTCTTCCCTCTCCCCACCCCTCAACCTTCCCCCTCCAACCCACCTCTCATCCCCACATTTCCCAAGTCAAGGTCTCCCATAGGGAGTCAGCAGAGCCTGACACACTCAGCTGAGGCAGGTCCAAGCCCCTCCCCCCTGCACCAAGGCTGTGCAAGGTGTCACACCACAGGCACTGGGCTCCAAAAAGCCTGCCCATGCACCAGGGATGGATCCTAATCACCCTGCCTGGGGGCCCCCAATCAGTTCAAGCTAAACAACTGTCCTCCCATATCCAGAGGATCTTGTCTAGTCCTATAGGGCTCCACAGCTATCAGTCCACAGTTCATGGGCTTCCACTAGTGTGGCTGGTCATCTCTGCACATTTTCCCATCATGATTTTGACGTCCCCTGCCCATAGAATCCTTCCTCTTTCTCATTGATTGAATTCCTGGAGCTCAGCCTGGCACCCAGCCATGGATCTCTGCATCTGCTTCCATCAGTCACTGGATGAAGTCTCTATGATGACAGTTAGGGTATTTACTTGTCTGGTCACCAGAATAGACCAGTCCAGGCACCCTTTTGACCATTGCCAGTAGTCCAAGGTGCGATCATCCTTGTGGATTCCTGAGAACTTCCCTGGCACCGTGCCTCTTCCTATTCCCGTGATGTCTTCATTTATCATGGTATCTCTTTCCTTGCTCTCCCACTCTGCCCCTGTTCCAGCTTGAACTTCCCATTTCCTTATGTTCTCATCCCCCATTCTTTGCCCTCCATTACCCCCTCACACACTCCTAGTTTGCTCATGTAGATCTTATCTATTTCTCTTGCACTGGGCTGTCTATGTGTCCCTTGTAGGGTCCTCCTTGTTTCCTAGCTTCTCTGGAGCTGTGGGTTGTAGTCTGGTTATCCTGTGCCTTACATCTAGTATCCACTTATGAGTGAGTACATACTGTGTTTGTCCTTCTGAGTCTGGGTTACCTCACTCAGGATATTTTATAGTTCCGTCTATTTGCTTGCAAATTTAATGATATCATTGTTTTTTTACTGCTGAGTAGTACTCCATTGTGTATATGTGTCACATTTTCTCTGTCCATTCTTTGGTTGAGAGGCATCTAGGTTGTTTCCAGGTTCTGGCTATTATGAATAATGCTGCTATGAACATAGCTGAGCATGTGTCCTTGTGGTATGATTGAGCATTCCTTGGTATATGCCCAAGAGTGGTATAGCTGGGTCTTGAGGTAGATTGATTCCCAATTTTCTGAGAAACCACCATACTAATTTCAAGTGTCTGTGAAAGTTTGCATTCCCACCAACAGTGGAGGAGTGCTCCCCTTGCTCCACATCCTCTTCAACATAAGCTGTCTTCAGTGTTTTTGATCATAGCCATTCTGACAGGGGTAAAATGGTATCTTAGTAATTTTGATTTGCTTTTCCCTGATAACTAAGGATGTTCAGCAATTCCTTAAATGTCTTTCAGCCATTTGAGATTCTTCTGTTGAGAATTCTCTGTTAAGCTCTGTAGCCCATTTTTTAATTGGATTGTTTGTTATTTTGATGTCTAGCCTTTTGAGTTGTTTATATATTTTGGAGATCAGCCCTCTGTCAGATGTGAGGTTGGTGAAGATCTTTTCCCATTCTGTAGGTTGTTGTTTGGAAAAAAGAAAGCATCTTCAACAAATGGTGCTGGCATAACTGGATGTCAACATGTAGAAGATTGCAAATAGATCCATATCTGTCACCATGCATAAAACTCAAATCCAAGTGGATCAAAGACCTCAACATAAATCCAGTTACATTGAACGTCATAGAAGAGAAAGTAGAAAGTAGTCTTTAATGCATTGGCACAGGAGATCACTTCCTAAATATAACACCAGTAGCACAGACACTAGAGCACAATTAATAAATGGGACTTCCTGAAACTGAGAAGCTTTTGTGGGGCAAAGGACACACAGTCAATAAGACAAAACAACAGCCTACAGAATGTCAGACTATTATTAGACCTGATGGGCCATGTTGCAGAAGCACAGAAGGAAGTATATGGTGCATTGTTTTTAAGACCACCACCCCACCACACCACACCACTCAGCCACTTACCGCTGCTAAATTTCTATAAGGTGATTGTTCAACATGTAGAAACTCCTGAGCTAAGCATGGAGTTCCCAGGCCTTCAACCTCAGTAAACTGCAGTTTACAGGCCCCTCCCTTCCCCCACCACACTCCATTTCATCTATTGAAAGCTGGGCCTGTCCCTGTAGGGAGTTCATCATTAAGGCAACATTTGATGGCCAAGAAGTGAGAGAATCCTCAGCCCCCAGGGAATGAGAAAAAGTGAACCCTGATATCTAGGTCCTAGACTCCCATAAGAGGTGGACTCAGACTTTGTCCACAAGTTCCAGACACAGGTCTGGTCAGCTTGAGATGCATTCAGCACCAGCCTCCTTATATACTTGTACTGAATCCAGGAATAATGTTGGGATACAGCTGGGACATGTCAGTGCCCATGGAGTGCTGGTTGTACCCCTGCCTCAGGACCTGCCCTGCTACACGTTGGAAAGATGGTTGGAACATTTGTTTGCTTTCAATAGATGTTTGCTTTTCTCTCACATCACATCCTTCATGGAATGGTATCTCGGTGTTTACTGGGGAAGGGGTTCTTTGAGGATCCTGCCAGGCTGCACATCTCTGCTGATCTCAGAGCCACCTGTCAAGAGTTTCCTTAGGATCTTTAAGACACAAGTAAGTCTCCAACTGAATGTTCAACTTTCCCTCTCCATGCAGGTTGCTGGCTGTGTTTCCGGGCTCAGAGGATTCTCAATGATTACCAGGTGCCCCAATCCAATGTCTAGACCTCCTCTTCTCTGTAGCAAGAATCTTAAATGGTCTTATTAATAAAATAAAATCCAGGGCCAGGTATTGGGATAAATGCTGGAAGATCAGAGAAGCAGAACAAGCCACAGCTACCTCACCTTGCCAGGTCCTCAGCTGATCCTGTTTCCTCAGACTGGAAGCCTCTAAGTCCTTATTCAAAATGGGTCTCAGCAGAACTGCTGCTCAAAAGCCTAAAAGCTTAACCAGCCAAAAGCTTAACCAGCCAAATGCTTCTAGTTTCTGATCTCTACGCCTTATATATCTTTCTGTTTTTGCCATCACTCCCTGGGATTAAAGGCTCACTTCTTGGGATTAAAGGCGTGTGTCACCATGCCTGGCTGTTTCCAGTGTGGCCTTGAACTCACAAAGATCCAGAGGGATCTCTGCCTCTGGAATGCTGGGATAAAGGCGTGTGCTACCATTGCCTATCCTCTATGTTTAATATTGTGGCTGTCCTGTCCTCTGACCCCAGATAAGTTTACTAGGGTGCACAATATTTGGGGGAACACAATACCACCACACTTCTCCTTCTGAATCTACACACCAAGAAAGCTCATCTCTTGATCTAGATCATCAACTCCCCTCTCCAGCTGTTCCTTAAAATTTTCCTCAATGACAACCTGACCTCTGAATAACTCAGTTCTCTGCATTGTAACCACACAGAGTAACTTGCCTAAGACAGCAAACACCAACAAACCCCCCCAATGCTCGCTGCGGCTCTGAGGAATTTCAGAATCCTCCCAGATCCAGGCTCTTTACCATCTTTTGTCTGTAATTGCTTCTTCCTCTCCACCACCCTTCTGCTGTGTTGTCCCAAAGACTCACTCCCTATCAGATTCTTAGAAATGCCTCCATTACTGGGAACCCTGCCCAAGACATTTTTTTCTGGTCATGTGATGACCTTCTCACCCTCCTCTGACCTCAACACAGAGGTCACATGATCCATATGTGCTTTTGGGAGCTCTTTGTGAAGTATCTAGAGCCTTGTTTTATGATCCACCTGCACACCACCATGGTGATGCCTGTGCACAGATCCCCACTTGGTGAAAACTGTTCCTCTGGCATCAGGACACTTGAAGAACATCCCACCAGTCATAATGTCTAGCTGTGAGGTCATGGGAAATGACTAAGATTCTCTGTGCCTCAGTTTCCTGATCCATAAAAAGGATTGATAATAACATGTAGGTCAGAGGTCCATCACAGGAGTCACAGAGCATAAGTGACAATTTCTACTACCTTGTGGTCACTAGAGGGCACACCCCTGCCAACAGGAGCTGAGTGAATTATACTTTTATTGATCCTTTGCTCCAAACCCTGCATTTTGGGTGATGAAGTTGAAGGTGTCTATCTATCATTTCAGGTTCGTCAGTTGCCAATCTAGAAAATGGGTACTGTGCCCTAAGTAGGAGCGCTGGGGGAAAGGACCTGGTCTGACTAATAGGCCCCTCAAGATGAGTGAAGTCTCCAACAGTGGGCCGGATATGTGCATGGCCAGTATCTGCTGCAAAGGGCAGTGGCTGGCAGAGGCTAGGGACTGGAGAGGGAAAGCACAAGGAAAGAACTTGTCACCAGGAGGTACCAGATGCAGGAGTGAGATTCAGTGCAGCAGCTTCCCTTCTCAGTCCTGGTCCTGGTCCTCATGGATTGGCCGGTAACCTTGCATGATCCCATCATGACCATAGATGTTGAAGGCAGATGTGCCTAGAAAGTATACTGAGACTCTGCCTACATAATAGTGCCCACATTTGGGATACAGACAAATACAGGTGAGTGAGCAGGGAGAGGGCATAAAGATAGATTCCAAGCTCAGAAGCTTGAGTAAGTGCTCCCAAAAGGCCCAAGAGCCTGTCACTCACAGTCCAAGGCTCCTGTGTATGTAGGAGTCATGGAAAGCCAATCAGAGCACGGAGTCCAGGATGTACACACCGACATGCAGGCTGCCTCCTGGGCTCCTGGGCAGGAGCCTCTCCACTTGGGAAGCTCTAGCCTCACTTAGGGTTGGAGATTTTGGCCAGAAAGAGGGTTATCTGAGTATCTGTTTCAGAGATAAACATCAGGAATGGCCTGTTGAAACGGACTGTCATCGATATAAATTTTCTACACAAAAAGACCACTTTGAATCCTGTGGCGGCAGCTGCTTCTGTGCCTGTCTCAGCCACGTCCAGCACAGCCTTGTGGACTACCTGTAGGAGAAAGACATCACTCAATGGAGTCAAGGAGGGCAGGAAAGGAGATTCCTGGAGCAAGCATCCACTGCTGGCCTCAGCTGCTGGTGAAGTTGTTTGTTCCTACGGTGAGCTCTACCCCTGGTGTTTCCAAGTCTCTGCTCAGGGTATGAGATGAGGCATGCCCTGGGTCTGCTCAGTCTCTGAGAATCTGTGTTGCTCTCAAACCAACTACAAACAGGAGGATGGGTGTAGGCAACGCTAGTCCTTCCTCCACAGGCAGCTTCTCAGGAGACCCACAGTGAATAGCCAGTGTGCTGGCAGCCAGTACAGGTTTTGGCATCCCTCCTGCTCCAGCCTCCTTGGAACATACAACCACAATGCACAGAGTGTGGTTTCTCTTTACCAAACTGTCATGTCCTATTTGTACAGACTTGCACCCAGGGATCAGAGTGGACACTGGACAGAACACTAGGCATTGCCAGGCTGTGCAACTGGGACTGTAATGTGGGGTCCTAAGGCATCTTCTCTCCTGTTCTTAAGCTTTTCATCACAACTGCCATTCATCCCTTGTTATTTCCTTTACTGCTACCATTCTGTTTGCTAGTCAGGAAGTACTTTGTCAGTTCTGCAGTGAAGAAGCTGAGTCTGGAAGTGCTTCGCCAAGCAGTGGATTGTGGGTGGTATCCACACTGCAGCACAGGGTCGGTGCCTATGGTGGTCTAACATCAAGCACAGGCTCTTTCCACTCTGGGCTTCTGGGGTAGAGGAGGAATCAGATGCATGCTCTCCAGCAGGGGTGTCTAGGTTGTAACCCAGCTCTGCCAGGATGAGGGAATTTCAGAAATGCGGGCTTTCTCACACATTTGCCATCCCCTCTTGCCACTGGCTTTCGGCATACATATTCAGGCACCCAGTGAGAACCACCCGGTGTATTTTGACTTACCTGAGAGACTCTTAGGTCCTTGGCCCCTGTGATCCTAGACAGGTCAGCCTGTGTGGAGAAGACTTTCCTGATGCCCAGCTGTGGAAGGATGTTCTCTAGGCTATAGTCAGTGGAGATGGAGAACTTGGGCATGTAGAGCTCATCGATCTTCCTGAGAATGTAAAGAGAAATGAAAGAGTCCCTGGACTCCATTGCCATATCAACCCATCTTTTGCTAGGGTGCCTCTCCACAGACAGCCCTCACACAAGAGCGCAGCCCTCTTTCCATCCATCCCACACCACTTGATTTTGCTTTTCCTAATGCCTCAACTAACCATCAATACCTGAGAGTTTATACAGGGGCAGGCGATGAGGCTTGGAACTAGCTGTTGGTTCCCTTACCAAGAATGCTTTTCTCCCTCTAAATGCATTTCTTCCCCTGTCATGTGGACCCTCAGACCTCATCTAATGATCATTCTAGTTAAAATTGCACAATCCTTCTAACTCCAGCTCTCCTTCCCCATGGACATTCCCCGCTTTTAACATCTCTGCTTCTTGTTTTTTAACTCTTCAAATAATAATTAATTATATTTTCAATCACCTACTCTCTCCTCTTCAATTTCAAGGTGAGCCTGTGATTATAAGAAATTATATGCTTGAGTTTCTGATACCCTCTCAGGGTCTAAATTTGAGCCCAGCACATAGGTCTTAGAGTCATCCTTCCATGAATGGAGAATGAACGAGTGAAGAGGGGATGAGATGGCTACACAGGGCAGAGCTGATTCTCAGAGCTGATCTCATTTCAACCTCACTTCCCTCTGCCTTCCAAAACCCATTCAAGATTCCCTGTAAATACAGCCTGTTAGACACAGAGGAATCCGCAGCTCCTGAACTAGCTGATTGTAGCTTGAGTTTTTCTGCCTGGCCCACAGTCAGGGCAAATCTCTCTCACCTGCCAGTCCCACAGCTGCTCAGACCCGACCAAGTAAACACAGAGACTTATATTGGTTACAAACTGTATGGCTGTGGCAGGCTTCTTGCTAACTGTTCTTACAGCTTAAATTAATCCATTTCTATAAATCTATACCTTGCCACGTGGCTCGTGGCTTACCGGCATCTTCACATGCTGTTTCTCATCGTGGTGGCTGGCAGTGTCTCTCTGACTCAGCCTTCCACTTCCCAGCTTTATTCTCCTCCTTGTCCCACCTACTCTTCCTGCCTAGCCAATGGCCAATCAGTGTTTTATTTATTGACTAATTAGCAACACATTTGCCATACAGAACATCCCACAGCAGCTGATGCCATCTTGTGAACAACAAAATGACAGTAAAATCTGTCCAAAAACTCCTGAGAAAGTAACCTCTGCTCCACCTGTCCCTGCTGACTCTCCAACCATTACACCGGGTGCTAGTGAGACTCTGAGTCACAGGGACACTGGGTTAACAGCAGGATGGGGAGCCAGACCAGCTCTGGGTACTGTGGACACGCACCTGGGCCTCAGAGAGTCCTTCCACTTCCTCAGGGTCTCTGGTTGCAAGCTGGCTTCCACCTGCTGCATCCTGCCCTCGTCAGGGAGGATGAACAGGGCGCTGGCATTGCCTGTGTACTTCAGCTCCACCACAGAGCAGGACAGATCCTCATCCCGGAAGTAGGGTGTGGTTAGATTCTCAATTTTCATCATGGGCACCCTCACAGATCTCTTCTTGTCCAAATGGAACTCAGATTCAAATGTGTCATGAGGGTCAAATGGTCTGTTCCATTTCCCTAAATGTGGAGCAGGCCATCAGAATGTAACAGCACAGGAGAGACACCTCCTCCTCCCAATTTCTGCCCAGTTTCTGAGTCAAAAGAGCAATCCATTTTCAACAACAGAGAGTGTAGTATCCCATGGTGGCTGCACAGTCTGGATTGGAAAAAACATTGCTAGATGCAGAACTATGAATGAGATTTGATCCACAGGCTTGGTTTGGAAAGAGGAATTCAAATCCGAAGCTTGGCTACTTAAGGTACCTGAGAAACAATCTAGGATCTGAGGGTGGGGTATATTAGAGAGAAATGTGAGTGAAAATGGAGAGAATGGAGCCTGAGGATATTTGGGGATCCCTTCTTCCTCAGGAGGAACCCTGTCTAGAAGGCAATTGCTGGGGGACAGATTTCAAGGAAACACGAGAGACTGAACCTCCAGGCAGTGATCTGTTGATAGTGCTCCTCAGTGTGAACCAACTAATGGAAGGCAGAGCCCAGAGCCAAGTGTGGGCTTAGACTCAAGCTCCAGGGACCTGTATCTTCTAGATTTGGATTAACAGGATCCCATAGTTGGTTGACTAAGATGAGTAATGAGTCCTCTTCTCCCACATTGGCCATGTTCACCTCCATGAATCACAGATCTCCTGCCCAGGCTTTGTGCACATCCCAAGTGCATGTGACCATCTACAATACACCCTGGGGGACTTGGTACTTTGACAATTTCTTGGGCTCAGGATGCAACTGCATAAACATACAACTCCTCCTCACAGCCAAGCAGCTCTGGAGCTTGGGTTCTGGGCCCAGCAAGAGAGCCTCGCCCTGCAGTAATCCTTCAGCCCTTTGCTCTGCTTCCCTTCTCTTCAGAGAAGAGCTGCTCTGGCTCCACCCTGAACAAATGTCCTCTGTCCTCCTATCCTCTTCTGTCCATGGCAAATTGGATTTCTGTCTATAGTCTCAGAATCTGTCCTCCTCTGCCCTAGACTATCCTGTGTCCAGCCTCAAGTCCACCCCAGGTCAGGCCACATCAGGATTTTCATCAGGAATTGTTTTATGGGCTATCGCCTCAATCCCTGGTCTCTATCAGGCAGGGTTTTGGAGTGTAGGCTCTGGATGTCCGCCCCAAAATCCTTACCCAATGCAATTCCAGCACAGTTTCTCAAATCACTAGCTCCCTACCTCCAGATTCCCTGGCTCAGGAGTGAGTATTGTGCACTGTGACCTCCCAAGCTGCCAGGCAAGTAGTTTTACAAAAGCAAAATTCCAAAAAGCAGCCAGACACTGAACGTAGAACATTGCATGGCTGATCTTTCTACAAACTAATGTCTTTGCCCCAGTCCCTGCTTCTTCATGCCCAGGTCTAGCTTGATGCAGAAAGGATCAGGGGAGAGGTCCTGCAAAGGAATGCATGAAGGGCTCTTCACTAGCTGTGGCACATGCTACATTCTCCTTAAGATTGGGTAGCCAGGCCCCTTAGGTAAAAAGTCAAGCCCACCTGGACCCTCATAGAGATAGAAGCTTTCCAGTAGGGATGGGCACCTTCTACAGGAGCAGATTAGAAATGCTGGAGTGGGCAGAACAGGGACTCAGTCTCTGCAGGAGCAGCCCTGGCTTCTCCCCACTCAGGGAGGACTGGACAAGCAAGCTATGCATTCTGCTAGTCACTAAGTTTAAGTCACAGTCAAATTGAGCCCACTTAGGCTGAGAGCTCAGGGGTTCTATTTAGTAAGCACCAGGAACCTCAACCACCATCCAGAATACCACAGAGAAGTAATGCCTGTTAATAATAAGAAGTTAGGCACCCATGTCTCTAAGCTCATGAGCACCTCCTTTCCAGTGGTCAGTGTATGGACACAAGGTACCCAGCCAACACCCTCTCCATCCACCCCTGAAAGAGCAATCATTCTCACCTTTAAAGTAGATGTAATTCACCAGCACCATTAATGAACTCTCATCCAGGTCTGAGATCAGTTCCTTGATCTTTCCCTGGGTCTGTTTGCTCACATAGTCATTGATGTTCTTTTTGGCCTCATGAGGCTGCTGGAAGTCAATCGTGGAGGTCTCAGCCTGGTACAGCACCCTTGCCTTCTCCTTGAACTCTGCCAGGATCTGTAGGTGCTTTTCAATAAACATGGCACTACCTGTTCTGATCTGCACCTGGTCCCCTGGCTGACTGAGCATGTGGAGGAGGTGCCCAAAGCCCCTGTGGATATCTGCCTCAGGGGTCTCTATGAGACTGAACTTGAGACCTTCCAGAATCTCTTCCAGGGTGTTGCTCCTTGCTCCCAGGGACAGGATGGCCAAGGCTGTTGAGATGCTGAATGGGGAGAAGACGACATTTCCATCTGTATTCTTCAAAGCCAGTTCCTTGTAGAGGCTGAAGGTGAAGTCCGTGTTGGTGTAGGTCAATGTTAGATTGTCCACTGGTGTCCTGTTGTTCGGGTTTTCCTGGACAGCAGTGTCCCTTCCCAATGTGCCATCTGGTTGGCAGAGGACTTTAGGGGAGATCTCAGCCATTACTCTGTTCTCCTTCTTGAAAAGAAAAGATCCTTTTGTCGGAGAGGGTCACATGGTTCCCTGACCATCTCCTTGGTCTCCCATTGTGTGCCTGCTCTGCTGCCTCTGTGACTTGCATGGGAGGTTCTCTGGACACTCAGATGGTAGTGCCACAGCCTCTGCTCCCTTTTACCACAGGAAGAACTGCTGTTGCAGCAACCAATATTCTCTAATAGAGGATCAAAACTCAGAGGGATGAAGAGATTTGCTAGGGTCACAAGGTAAGGAAGAGAAAATTCTGGGGATGGGCTCAAGCCTTGTGTAATCTGAATGTCTCCTCTCCTCTTCTGGATTGACATAAGGACTCATTAGAAAGCAGGGGATCTCTTATTTTGCATTTGTGTCCTCTACTCCATCATCAACCTCTAGTCCTGGCTTAGGGAAAGAACATTAGATCAGTTGTGCAGGACAGGGCCCACCCCAACCTCCTGCAGACATGTCTAAGAAATCCACAGCCATGGGCTGAACCTAGTGCCTGTTTCTGGGAGTGTGAAGGGTTAATTGAGGGTGGCTCTGGTGCAGCGCCAAAGCCTTGGGACCCTTGATCACAGGTATTAGAAGGACCAGTAGGGGAGGTTTGTATCTCAGCTTGGAAGACCTCCTGGTGGGAAGGAAATTGAATGATGTCTGAGTCTCTGACACCTGGACCATTTTCCATTTTGGCTGTCAGGATGACTGTGTGGTGGTAGCAAGCAAATGGGTGGACCTCTCTGGACAGCTTGTTAAGTGACCCAGGGTACACTTTTAGTAAAAGTGTATAGCTTATTAGGAGCTTTGTGGGTATTGGTGGGGAGTGTCCAGAGGGCCATCTCCTTCTTACATCCCTGGACTGGGGCACAAGCATCCTGAAAACTACAATTGAAGGCTTAGGATATGGTAAACACTGCCACTCTCCTTAGCCTTATTCACACTCTAGATGAGTTCAGAGGAGAACGTAGATGCTAGAGGAATAGGAAGGTGAGGAAGAAGAACAGAGGAGAGAGGACCAGGTGGGAAAAGAAGCTGGAGTGAGAAAGTGGGGGCAAGAGGAGGGGGGAGTGGAGGAGGGAGGGGGATGAGATGGGGGAGGGAGAGGAAGATGGAGGAGAGGGAACACCAGAAGAGTAGAGCAGAATGGAGGGAGCAGGGGAGGGAGGTATTGGAGCTGAGACACTAGTGCCCAGGGCTATGCAGGCCCGTGCCTGCAGATGGGCCAGGGACTTTGGCTGTCTTTACCCTGTGTTTACCGTCAGACTGATGCAACCATTTCTTTGGAAAACATTCAACCATATTTTACATCAAAATTATTTCCACAGAAAAGAGGCGAGTCCGTTTGAGGAGGAGACCTGGCTCAGTGGCTGAGCTCTAGCCTACTTTTCCTTATTAGGAGAGGGTGTGGTCCCTTTTCTTGGTCATCGGATCTGTGGGGGAAGTGGGGTCCCTGACCCTAAGGCATCTCCTCTCTGCTGTAAGCACTGCAGGGATGTCACCACCCCCAAAAGGACTCTGTAACTGTCTGTCTCCCTCTGGTTCCTACAGCTGCACTGGCATAGTCAAGGTCTCAATACTTCCTCCCCGTGGAGGGTCAGAAGGAGCAGGCTCCATTCCCTCTTCAGGAGCATAGCCCATGGCACCCCCATCTTCATACACATGAAGACCCAGACTGGAGAGAAGATTCATATGCACCCCAGAAATGTTCCCTGATTCTAACCCAGTGTCCCAGGAACTACTCCTCACCCCTCCAAACCAAGACTTCAGGTCATTACCAGTACCACTCACTGCTGCAAAGGCACCTTTCCTGTCCCCAGAGAGAAGGAATCCCAGGCATTACCTGCAGAGCTGACGCCCTCTGCCAGAGTCTGTGATAGCTGAGTTCTGATGTTCCAGTGGCTGTCTGCCTGGTGTGATGTTCTCCCCAAGCACACTGATGTCTATTTATCCCCACCAGGGACTCCTCCCTCTTCTTAGGAAATGCTGGCCCAGACAAGTTGTGCTCCGTGCTCAGTTTGGAAATGTACACATGGCATGATTCCTGGTAATGTGCATTAGAAGCTCCAGGAGGCAGAACCACATCTTGATGGGAAATCCCTTATCTTTGTTCTAAATGACAAGCCCACTGGATTGCCATTCTGGCTATCTGTTTTTCTAATTGTTTAATGGTCAGTGTGAAACTCGGCAGAAATCAGAGATAAAAAGACAGGGCACAAGCCGAACTTGCCACCAGGTAGGGATGCAGATAATAGTTGTCCTAGACTTTCTTTTTTCTTTTCTTTTTTTTATTTTAAATTAGTCCTTTTTTTAAAAAATAATTTGTTCAACTTTATTTTATGTGCACTGGTGTGAAGGTGTCAGATCCCCTGGAATTGGAGTTACAGACAGCTGTGAGCTGCCACGTGGGTGCTGGTAATTGAACCTGGGTTCTCTGAAAGAGGAGCCAGTGCTCTTAACCTCTGAGCCATCTCTCCAGCCCCTTAAATTAGTTCTTGTTTCACATTTGTTGTTTTAATTTTTTCCTATTTATTTATTTATTTATTTATTTATTTATTTTTCTATTATCAGCTTGATACAGTATAAATTCTTATCCTAATTGTGAAATGTTTCGTTGAGGCTTGCCCAGGAATTGTGTAAAACCAAAACTACTTATAAGCCACAGTCATCCTAGGGTCCCCCCTGCTTTATAGCCTCCCTGGTTCTGTGGGTTGCAGTCTGATTGTTCTTTGCTTTATATCTAGAATCCACTTGTGAGTGAGTACATACCATGTTTGTCTTTCTGGGTTTGGGTTACCTCACTCAGGATGATATTTGCTAGTTCTATCCATTTGCCTGCAAATTTCATGCTGTCATTGTTTTTCTCTGCTGAGTAGTACTCCACTGTGTGTATGTACCACATTTTCTTAATCCATTCTTCAGTTGACGGGCATCTAGGTTGTTTCCAGGTTCTGGCTATTACGAATAGTGCTGCTATGAACATATTTGAGCATGTATCTTTGTGGTATGATTGAGCAGTCCTTGGGTATATGCCCAAGAGTGGTATGGCTGGGTCTTGAAGTAGATCAATTCCCAATTTTCTGAGAAACCGCCATACTGATTTCCACAGTGGTTGTACAAGTTTGCATTCTCATCAACAGTGGAGGAGTGTTCACTTTACTCCGCATCCTCTCCAACATTGACTGTCATTGGTGTTTTTGATCTTAGCCATTCTGACAAGGTAAGGTGGTATCTCAGAGTCGTTTTGATTTGCATTTCTCTGATGATTAAAGATGTTGAGCATTTCTTTAAAAGTTTTTCAGCCATTTGTGATTCTTCTTTTGAGAATTCTCTGTTTAGCTCTTTAGCCCATTTTTTAATTGGATTGTTCAGTATTTTAATGTCTAGTTTGAGTTCTTTATATATTTTGGAGATCAGTCCTCTGTCAGATGTGGGGTTGGTGAAGGTCTTTTCCCATTCTGTAGGCTGTCTTTTTGTCATATTGACGGTGTCTTTTGCCCTACAAAAGCTTTTCAGTTTCAAGAGGTCCCATTTATTAATTGTTGTGCTCAATGTCTGTGCTGCTGGTGTTATATTTAGGAAGTGATCTCCTGTGCCAGTGCTTTCAAGAGTACTTCCTACTTTCTCTTCTATTAAGTTTCGTGTAACTAACTGGATTTATGTTGAGGTCTTTGATCCACTTTGTCCTAGACTTTCTAAGTAACTTCAAAAAGAACACAACAACTTTATTTCCATGCTCCCTGATTTCTTTATGGAAACTCACACATTAATAAACATATGCCTAGATCCTGACAGAACCCCATGTACATCTGTGTAACCGTCCTGTCTGGCAGCAATGGGCTTGTTCTCAACAGAGACTTGCTGTACCCTCTTTGGCTCTCAGACTTCTGAAGGGAAGCTGCCTTGTCTGGCAGTGAAGGAAAACTCCTAAAGCATCTGTGTCTGCAGAGCCTGGCTGGCTGATCTGAATTTCAGTACTGTAGAGAGATGGGAGCACTGCAGGTCAGGGGCTAATAAACTTCTCATGGGCTAAGTGCTGCTCTCTGGAACAGCCATGTTTCCTCCCTCTGTGTCAGAACTAAACCTTGTGACAATAGAGTCTATTCACTTAGCAGACAACCAGCTTCAATCCAAAAGCTAAAAATGCCAGCAGATAATATCTTGAGCCTGTGGAGAAGCTTCCCTCCTGTCTTGAGGCTCCTGCCTAACTGAGCAGCCCTTTGAGGAGGCCCAGAGAGATTTTCCATTATAAGCCATGAGAGGGCTGGGGGTTAGTTGAGTGGTCAGGGACTTGCCCAGAAAACACAATACCCTGGTTCAGTTTATAGTACCATAGGAAAAAGAAAATCATGAGAGCAAACTTGGTCATAGAACCTCCAGCATGTGTCATGTCTTCAGCCAACAGTGTGACTCATGAGAGGCCCTGAGGAAGAACCACCCAGCCTGGTTCCTCATGGGTGCCTGACACTGTGAGATATTCCATGTTTATTATTTCAAGTTGTGAATATCAGAGCAATTTACTCGGCATCATCAGATTAGTGAGAGGAGACCAGTCTCCCTCTTAGTCCTTTGGACCCAGAGAGAGAGAGTAAGGACAGACATGTCAGAAGGCAACATGCAGGCACACATTGAAATGACTAAGGTAAGTCCTTCATGTTCTGACTCCAACTTGTGTTTCCTCACACAGTTCTCAACCCTCTCTGTTCTCCACCACAGTCATGTCTGCCTTCACATGTATTTCAGATTTCAATGGACACGTCCATGGTGCAGAAGAATCGACCAGATAAGTAAGAAAACCACAATAAATAAAGATGCTATAATTCAAAATTATTTTGTCATGTTATGATTGAGATGAGTACTCTATTCTGTTAACAAAGAACATTTCAACATAATCTGAACTATATCTAACTTGTAATTAAATTATGGTCTTTGTGGTTTTTGCCCTTCAACATTCTGTGTCCCTGAGTTTGAGCACCTATAACCTTTTCAAAGACATGAGCTC